TGAGTTTTAAGGAGAGATGACTAGCAAGAACCTCTGTCACTCCCGGTTTTTATAGCTTACCTGAGTATAGTATGAATCAAGGATCTCATCCAGGCAGCAATCACCCGCATTTCCCTGTTCCTACCGATGCCTGATTTTCATCTGATGTCTCGAGCAATATCACTCCCTTACCCTTTGTATACATGTGTTCCTTTCCATCTGATGTCCCTCAAAGTGGCACTAGCCAAAAATGTATGAGTTCATAGGTTCTTCAATATCTTCATACCGTTGCGGTCTAACAAGGGAAGGGGAGAGGTCGAGATGGCCTTTTGTGATGAAGCCTGTGCAGTCAAATACTGACTCTGCGATGATCTCAAATCTACTTTCGAAATTTCCGAGTTTTCCTCTGAACTTGTGACGAAGGCTTTGCTCCTCTCGCTACGACATTTATGGAAGCGCACTTTTGGCAAAGGTGCGGATGATTCCAACCAAGGCGCCATGGAGGAATGTTACTCTGTTCACTTCATATCATAGTCAACCTGGGCACATAATCATTGAAATTCCCAAAAAGAGGGGGCCGAACTTGTTTGCTTGGGGACGGGGGTCGCATTTGGTCTGGAAAATTTTTTTTGATGTTTGGTTTTTCTTGTTTCAAGGACGCTATAAGGGCAGGAGGGAAATCGTATTCGCGCTTGCACTCTTTGGTTCAGTAAGTTCGTATTTGCACTTTGCAACCCATAATTCAATGATATTCACTAATAGATCAGTAAAGTTCTTTTATTGTTATGATGTTATCGGCAAGTCGAGAAAAGGCCAGGAATCAGCGAGAAACCAGTTAACTTATACGACTCCACAGGCGAGTCTGCCAAGAGGCATGATAGGTGTGAAGTGAGAACCTTTTAGGAATACCACACACCCGAAGGGTGATCTTCGCCCTTCTCAATTACTCCTGTCGAATCACCCCATTTAGTTGCATACGCTGACTGCTCGACGATAGTTTCAACGCGAATGCAGTCAGGAGTTAAATAATTGACTGAGGCATTTTTTAACACCACCACAGTTCGAACACACATTCCAAGACGGTGTAGGTGAAACACACAGGGTGACAGGTGCTGAAAGCGGGGAACGCCCAGCTGAGGATGGTGAAGGGACGGATAGAGGATCTAGAATTAGAAACTGTGTTGCTAAGGGTGAACTAGTAGGAGAGGTAAAGGAGCCGGAGGAGAAAATGTGTACTGTTGAGGGACAAGTAATGAGGGGAGTGGAGGAGCGAGAGAACTAGAAGCGAGTTGTTGAGGGCAAACTGGCGAGAGAAGTGGAGGAGCTGGGGCTAAGGTTGCAGTCACATGCATGGTGCTGCGGTATTCACCTGGGGAGGCCCGTAGGGTAGAAGCCATGGAAAGTGCATGTGTGGGCGCTTGCATAGAGCTAGTGTGATGAGCACTCATTGGTGGGAAAGCCATCCGGTATAAGCCATCCATGGACTGAAGAACCAGGCGTACAGGTGTACGTATACCAGCAAACTGTAAGGAACCAGTCGGATCCTAACCAGTGTGATTGTAAAAAAAAAGAGAGCCTGAAGCACCATACCAATACGAATTCATTAGATTGTATTCATGCTCGAACAATTACTGACACGACGTGCTGTATTCTGTTTTCATACACTTCTTCGCGTCTCCTCGGATAACCTTTCAGTTGGCTGTGAACTTATTAAGCGCTAAGAGAAGGTGTGAAAGGTCATACCCCGTGGATTAGCTTGCTTGTGGACTGTCGCAAACTGTGTGTACACCTGATATCGGGTGTTTATGGACAACAGAAAACCACGTATCTTTGTTAGCTTTCCGAAAGGGTCATTTTTGTCCCTGTATTGGTGGTGAGGTCCGCTTCTCCGCATGGTGCCACTTTGAACTGCTCGCCTCTGCGTGCACAGAGTATCCTGAGTAGGAACTCTGAATAATAGCGGACATTCGAATGTAGGTGACAGACTTGCGTGGCGGGCCGAATTACTAATACCCATATCTCATCACTTATGACTAATGTGACTTTGAAGTGATATAAGTACTTCGTATTTGAATTACTATCTATTTACCATTATTGAGACTTGTTGTCAGTGCACAAAACTGTGGTATCATTCTTATGTATTAAATTTTTTGGGTTGCTGATTTCAAGGAAGTAGTCTAGTTTCCATTTCGCACGTACCCTTAGACGGAAGCTAGACAATCGTGGTATCTTCCCTTTGTGCTCATCAGTAAGTAAGGGTAGGAGCAAAAGGTTTGAGTGTGACAAAATTTATTTATTCACTTGTTTGAAAAAATGTTTAATATATTTCTTCGAAAATGTTTTCATGACATAGTTTTCATCAAAATGTTGCAAAACCTACATCTATGTGATGGGGTGGTTGAATATGTTTCAATCAATTCTTTTTCCACAGAAGCTATTTTATTATCTGTCATTTCCTTCTTCTTGTCCTGCACTGATTGGTGTACATCCAAATACAGTGCGTAACAAAAGTATGTGGACACCTCAAATTTTTGTCCTGCGAAAGTGTCTTCGAATTTTGCGATATGAGACCTTTATTGCTGAATTCCTCATAAGCAAAAACATAGGAATACACTACTTCTAAACACTGGACTGCTGAACTTGTGGACTACTGAACAACTATTTACTGTTTTGAAGAAGTTTTTAAATAATAGAAGTATGTGGACACATAACAAAAAACAAATGTATCGTGGAAAATAGAAGCTGGTCCCCAGTGTTCACTATTACTTCAAACATTCTGTCTGGCCTACTGTGGACAAGATTTGTCATGGTGTCTTCGTCGATTTCCTCCCATGCAGCAACTATTGCCTCCTTCAAGTCACGCACGCTGTTGTACTGCTCTCTGTTCATGTAGATTCGTCGAACCATGATTCCCCACACGATTTCGGTTGGGCTGCACTCAGGAGAACACGCCGACCAATTAATCACTTTGATACCATTGCGTTGGAGCCATTTTCTAGTAGAATTTGAAACATGCACGGCGGCGTTGTACTGCTGCATCACATGTACCTGCGTCGTGGCCCGCTAAGAAAAGGCAAGAGGTTAGACTCAAGCAGCTCCTTGATATTCCTCACTGTTCATACAACACGATGGGAAGGCAAAACCAACTATCCTCTGCTTCCAGAACCATCAAAGAGGCGCCTTCTAAATTTCGTCTCGAGAACACCAACGGATCGCTGCAAAGACCTTTCCAGTGATGCTGATATCCATCTGGACCGTCGAGATTGACTTTTTCTTATCAGTGAAGATAACCTAAGAAAGATATGCGCATAAGTTGTTGCCTTTCTGATTATACAAATAACTCAAGAAACTGCACCTTGTCCCACGACGTCGCCATTTTTGCACGCGCAAAGTTCAATCTTGCCAGCTGGTGACTGACAGTCAGACAAGAAGCTTTTTTCATGGTCTCGATGTGCTCACTTGATCGAATAGAGCGCCATATTGCCCATTTTGAGACCCGTAGATTCATCGCGGCATGGATCTGTGCCACAGAAAGCGGGGAGTTTGAGGGTATTCTTCTAATGTCTTTTCCGGAAAAAGATCGTAGGTGCTCAGTGGTAGCCATCAGGATTGGAGGTATATACCAACGCACGTCGACGAAAGTCCAAGCTATCTTGCGATTTCTCTATTCGAGTGTCCTGCAGCACTGAAAGCTCAAATCCGAGCTTGTTCGTCTTCGTAAAAAGGACTACCACGACGAGGTATGAGTACAGCTTAATGGGGACTAGAGGCCATAAAAATGGACTGCAGATCTGGAGCCGAACTTTGGACTTCCACAGGTGTCCACATACTTTTGTTATTAAGAAACTTTTTCAAAACAATAAATAATTGTACAGTAGTCTTATGAGGAATTCAACAATGAAGGTCTCATATCGCAAAACTCAAAGGCAATTTTGCAGGACAAAAATTTGATTTGTCCACATACTTTTGTTACGCACGGTATATATACACTCTTCATACACACTAGCATGTGCTTAGACAGGTATTGTTGCTCAAAAGACTTTACATCCCTGATGTTTTGCTTGATAGTTTTATCAGATCTTATCGAGAGTGTTCTGTTTAACCCTGAGTTTATTTGGAAAAAACTTATTTTTCTTTTGAAAACACAATTTGATGGTCAATACCTCCCAATACCTTACAAAATTCGATTTATATCTAAGCGAATGTGGTTATGACTGTGTTTGTGGTATATTCGAACGAAATTTTTTTTAAATAGAGCGGAGAATTTCGTCCAGTTGTACCCCATATTTATTATACCCGTGGAATACGAATACCACATCCGCACCTCCCGCCACGGACACCGACACCAAAAGACCTTAGACCGCCAACCTCACTGAAATTTTGTCCGCATGGATCACTTTACACTCCAAATGTAAATATAATTCTCGCTGAACGCAGAACGTTACAAAACGCCAGACGATTCTCCGATGATGACGCCAGCGCCGTGCAGTGCAAGAATGCAGTGTGTAGTGTCCCCAGCTCTTCCTTGATCTCCCACACCGCACCCCTGTTTTATTGACCTTGCTAAGGTATAAATTGAAGGGATATGAAAAGTGGACTACAAGCTGAGGCAAGATAAGGAGATATCACCAAAAGTTTCCGCGCCAACGGGGAGCAAGCTCTAACCATCTGTGAAGCAAGTGACTTATTGCTGGTAGACTACTACAATTAAGACTTGACTAATTATGAGTCAGTCATACTGATATGCACCACTATAAATCAGGAAATGTGTGACCTCTTGTAACTAGCTTGCGATCTAGAGACTGCAAAACTGCTATCACCAGGGATCGGGATCTATTGGTTTAGTTGCTTCCCCCTCTGAAGTTGCGTTGAAATTTAAGACCCTCTTTTGTAAGAGGAATGGCGCCAAATAATTAATGTCTCTACCTTTACAGGTTGCCAGCGAAGATGTCATCGTGAAACTGAGAGCTGGAAGTGTCACAATAACTCGGCCGCAGTTGCAGGAACTGGCTTTGCAACAAATGAGAAAATCCTTTCCTAGACTCGCGAAGACTCAAAATCTTTCAAAGGCTGGAAGAACTCCATTCAAGTAGGTTTCTGGTTGTTCTCTTGGACAAGAGGTTCTCTACCGTTTTGCTTGTTACAGATTAAGCTATGAAGTTTTAACTGGCCAAGCTACTGCATCAAAGATTACACATGTTAAGAACGTGTGGAGCTCAAAGACGAAGGAGAGAGCATTTTCGAAATTCGGTTCCTTCTTCAAGAAACAGAAAAGTGCCCCAGACATCGACCATGTTCGCTCAAGGACAGCTGAGAAGAATCGTGTTGCTAAGGCCATACCGTCAGCACCGATGAGCGTGAGGAGCGAGATCACAAGTGTATCTCGATATAATACGGTATGACACTGCTTGTCATGATTTGCGATACGGCCTATTCTTTTCTAGCTCGCTTTCCGCGCCTTTCTCAAAAAATTGTAAAAAAATTTCGGTTGATATTGTGTGAACGCCAAAAAGTTGCGGTGGTTGCTCAGGTGCAACAAAAAATTGAATTAATCGTGACATTAAAAAATAACATCTTCCCAGTCAGTTGTTCCACTCAGGCTTCCTTAGGGTCATACTGAGCGTACTTCTAAGTATCAGATCATTATCATAACTCATCACACCCGCTAAGATACGGACGTGAAAAATGACAAACTGGCCCCATAGTTTGACCGTCGCCCCTTTAGAATACTTCTGAGAAGATTCGAAAGCCGAGTCCATATGAAAAATCTGTCATCACAAAAGAGCCAGTTCAAGTACTCAAAGAAGAATAGAATGGAGCGCTCGCGTGAAACCTCAGAGGCCTCGTGAAGTTGATCCTCCACGATCAAATGCTGCTGCTAGGTCGAATGATCAGTGGGATTTTTGAGCTGGTCCCAAGTTTTTTTTTATTTTGACGCTTGATTTATATGTAGCGCAGTGAACGAAATCTTATCGAGTATTTTTAGATTGATGGAATTCGAGAAGCTTTATACCAGCAAAGTCTCATTGACAAGATCACGCCGACTTATTTCGATGTGAGGACGTTTATACAACAGGTAAGGTCCACGTTATGGGAGATAAAATTACGATAATAGAATCATCAGTATCAGTCGCAGCTATGCATCAGCTTAGTACCACTTACCCGATATGCTTACTTGGACGCTCGTTTTCAGCCGGCTCTTCAGCGGCGAGCAATACTTCCCTCCATTGTTTGCGGCGGTTTGGACCCGGTGTTGGTCTGCAGCTTCTTGGAGTTGCTTCAAGGAGTCTCTCCAACGGGTTGCAGGGCGGCCAGCCTTGCGCTTCGCGTTTCTCGAATACCAGGGTGTGATGCGAGTGGTCCACCGATCGTCCGTACGTCTGACCACATGTCCGGCCCATCTCTTCTTTGCATTCGCGTATACTACAGCATCGTGGATGCCTGACATTGAGTGCATGTCTGTACTGCGCAGATTGCGACATCTCGGCGGTTGATATTCAGCAGGGTCCGTTCCAATGCTCGCTGGGCACTTGACCGATATAGCCGCACCAATTCCAAAGGCTTCTTGTAGATCCTTCAATTCTAATCAAAGCGGTGAGCCCTTATGACGGGCAACTATAATGGGCTGTATACAGTAGCAAAAAAAAACTCGGGACAAGCCCACGTCATGAGCTTTTTTTTGATAGTTTTCTTGAAACCTTATGAGTTGCACATGGAAACAATTTTGCTCACCTTAACAACGCCTTAAAACGCTATTCCAAAAAAGTTGCTCGACTGATGTCGCTGTAGGAAGAGAACTTTGAAGGATATTGCGATAAGGCATTCCGCTGCCACCTTTATACTGGATCATTTCTGGAATTCTCTGCTCTCTGGGAAGAACACAGGTCTGGAATTCGAGTAAAAAAGAGTAAAAGGTGAAAGAAGCGAGCATTCAGACAGGTCTGATCCACCATCCGATGAGCCCATGTAGAATTAAGCACGACAGCCGATCATGTCGCCGCCTGCGATAAAGCATTGTGAGGGTCGGTGGAATGAGGAGAAACATTACCGCATCTAGCTTGTGTAGTTTCCACCGTCGGTGAATCACTTTTCGGTATGCTGTATTAGTGGTACAGCATCGTTGTGTGAAACACGTAGGGGGAGGATACTTTCCCTGGGGAGGAGAGGATCGTATTCGGTGGTTGTCGGGAGAGAGCGTATGAACCTTCAGAGAAATTTGCCGTGTTGGGAAAAAGTTCTTCCAGGATGTTGACTTTTCGCGTGATTTTTCCTTTTTGATGTGTACTGTATTCCCCCCCCCCCCGTTGCTCGACGCAAAATTTCTAAGTGAAAACTGGAAATTCTGGGAATTGGGAGGTTGGGGTTGGGGAAGGGGAAGGGGACGTACCGACACCATCATTTCACAAATCACGATGCTGTACCCTTGCTGCATTTCGCTCATTAAACATCGTAGTGGCTTTTGAGCGTGAGTTGGCATACATATGGAAAGAAATGCGGGATGGGATGTGGGTGGGCAGCCGATGTGAATGTCGATGTTTTTATCCTCCTGCGAGTCTAGCACTAGTCGACTTCGCCCACAGGCATGAGCAGCTTGGTTGCCTCTTGTGGGAGCCGATTAGGTACCTAATCCCCAGCCACGCTCGTGGTAAATGACATTATGTACATGTCACTACGCTGCTCCCGCCCTACCAAAAGATAAATATCATCGCATTGTTACATCATATGTTTAGCGAGTGCTCCCAATGTGTGTGTTCAAGAAGAAAACAGATAAGATGAAACGAAGCAAATGTCTTTCCGAGGCTTGTTCTCAGTTACTTTCCCACTACTGTAGCTGTTAGCCAACCACAGATGCTGCCAAAAGTGCAACTTATGTAAAAAACACCGGAACAACTGGAACATTTCTTTCCTGTTGGGTTAGTCCGATCACAGTGGCATATTCTATTTAATATCTTCCCAGCGAGATGAAGAATAGGTATCCAGTAGCGGAATAAAAAAACTTACATTAGCACAAGACAAAGTCGCATGCTTTTTAAGCAGAACGACGAGGAATTTTGCGATATTGCACGCCGTAGCACTTTTGTATTGGGATATTTTGAGTCTGTAGGGCCGTGCGAAGAACATGGAAATGAGAAGCGTGATAAAAAAAAGTAGAAGGAGGAGAACGAGACAAGCTTGACCCCTCGTTCGACAAGCCAATTCAGACTGTTTTAGGGTGCTTATCATGTTACGAGGCGGAGATGGTGTAGTGACAAGGTGGGGGCGCTCACCATTCGCGCGGTCCCGGGTTCGAATCCCGGGTCGACTCCGCCCAGGCCAACCAAGCCTTCTACTCCGGGACGGTGAATTGGTACCAGATTCTGCTGGGAGGATAAAACACTGACTTGTTACATCGCTGGCCACCGCAAGTCATTGTATAGGCCACATCGCATTCAATAACCCACTACAGATTCTGAATGGAAGTAGAATGGCGTGCCGCCATCCACACAGGGATTGATCAAGCGCGAAGACTTTATCCATTTTTATCCTTTTTATCATGTTAAAGTGTACGCTGAAGAACGTACACAGTACCGTGGAGACCGAAGAACAGTGGAGAGCTTTTATCAAGTCAAAACTTATGGGTATAACCTTATACCCTAATTCTACTTCATCTAAAGTGTAGTGGCTCAGGAATAGGACATGACTTAGGCAATGACTTGCGGGGTGTGAATCCCAATTCAAATCAGTGTTTCAGCCTCTCAGACGATCAATTAGCAAGCCCCGGAGTGATGGGAGCATAGTTGGCTCGGTGGAAGCTCTGGAACTGGATCCCAGAGCGCACGTGGTAATGATCCGCTTGTCACTTCACTACAACCGATCTCTTTTCCAAACTAATAGTTTTTTATGATACTGGCACCACCAATCCTTTCCTCTTTAAGAACATGCAGTTCACTGATGATGCTTACGCTCCAGGTTCAAGTTCAAAAGCTACGATTATGATCCCGCGAGGCTTATAGCCAGCCAGACCTACAGGGGTGGCCAAAAAAAAAAGTCACTTTGCCCTCATTGACTTTCGAGGCGCTAATAAATTACACTTTATCAATTCTGATCGACATTTTTACTACCATGTTGAGAGCACATTAAAGTACTATCACGACGTCGTCCGCACAGCCTTTCTGGACGACGCCATCGAGAGATTCGGCGCGCGCAAGCCTGAGTGGGGTCACGAGTTGAGCGAGATCGTTGATTCTCTGCCACCGTAAGACCACCCTTTTGAAGTCCGCCCGGCTAGTGTAATTGGATCGTGGGTTCAGGCAGGGGACATATCAATATGACATCTTCTCAGATTTACGAAACGCCCTTCCATTCGAAAATAAGCGCGGAGTTTTTCCAAACCCATTGATTTCCATGTGGTGCCACCCAAACCTGGTAGCAGCACAAGCGTCTCCACTATGAAGCGTACGAGCGACCACATGTTAGGAGGATATTCTTCCGGTACTTTATGTAACGCCACGCGCTCACCTTCCAGTCGGGCCGGTCTACAAGAAAATACCGGTCTTCCCCTTTTCCCAGGTAACCCGGATCCTAGCATCAACTCGCGCTCGGCGAATTACGTGCAAGATTGATGTCCTAGACCTCGCCGAAGTTTGAGGAAGCTGCTCGATGTGGGAGGTTCTTGCAGATCAAGAAGTAACTGACCTCCGGTTAGCCTATTTGTGGATGACTTCAAGCTAAAAGAAGTTCGCCCAGCTGTTTGGTCAGACGAGCGTGATTCAAAGGTGTTCTCAGTCAGGCGCGCTGGGTAGATGACTTCATATTTTGGCGCTACATAAGGCGATCGGCGGCAGCCTGCTCCAGCTTATAGAGGAAGACCTTGGGTATCTGTCCACTCTGGTACTCATATCCACTTCCCCTGATCTGGGCTGCGCAAAACTTTTTCCGTTTGATATGTGACTTGGTCAAAGTGACTTTTTTTTTTCTGCCACCCTGATATGGTCGCGTCCAATGACGTTCGGATCATTGAACGATGGTAACTGGCACAGAAATTTCACAGTTTATCCTCTTCATTGAGCTCAGAGCGAATAACTACATAGGCTCGCTTCCCATTCCATGAAACAAATCCAAAAGAAGTGTGTCCAGTTGTTCTCGTAGCAGACTTTGTCTGGCGCGGCGCCATCCCGTTCTCCACCAGTTGCTGTAACGGCCAAGCACAGCAGTTGCTTAAAAACAGCTCTGCGCCGCGCGAGCCCGGCCTCTCCTCCTCCACCGCTCCTTCTGGCCGGCCTAGCGTCTGCAGCGGTAACGCCGGCCTAGCGTCTGCAGCGGTAACGACTACCTCTATTCTACTCTCGTATTGAGCGAACAATGATGAAACACATTTCAGCTCACCACCTACCACAACATTTTTCGTAGCAGACATGGTGCACCATCACTGCTCTACGATTACACACTTGAGCGAGCCGCACAGAGCTGGTCAAGTAATCTAGGATCAAGGAAAAGCTGTCTTGTGCATGAAGTTCCTCGAAGGTACAGCTAATATTGTCGTGGTCACTGCTAGGAGGCGTGGAATGAGTCCAAGCGGCGTTTCCTACAAGTTAGACACAGTTCGGCATGGTGCAGGCACCAAATTGCACTACACGAAGCTTGTACCTTGAAATGGCAACTTGTAGAACCCTGCAACCCAAGCGACTCATTTGTAAAATTTCGCACCTTTTCAAAAATTCACAGGTTTCACTAAAATACGGCACCTTGATTACAAAAACCAACGAAAGGGACTGCGAGAGTGCGAAACGCCGCTACCACGCCCCTCTCCTCTCACCTCTGTGTTTTCCATGAAACGGCAACTACTATTGGTGAAAGCCGCAGCCGCGGCTGTGATTATTCCACGCATCCTAACGCCGTCGCATCGGATTGCTTCGATATCGACTATAAGTGCTTCCATGCATCGATGAGTTAGTTGTTCAGGTATGGAGAAAACTTGTTCTACTTCGGTGCCAGAAAATTCCCAAACCCTCATGTAATGGCACACTTGGTTACGCAGAGTTTCTACATGGAAGGAGTGGGCTATGATTACAATAGGTGAGCCGATCATGAGTTTCTCTTTGAATGCTTGCTGAGAAGCCGAAGCGTCTATAAAATGTGAGTAGATGTGTACTCCACATTATTACGCACAACATGGAATAGGATAACATTGTTTCAACCCAGACTGGATAGAGCACTCTTCACGGTTTTCGGAGTGCTTTCGAACCGATTCACGAATTTCCGACTTTGGCCCGCCCATCCCTGCGCACGTTTTCCCACTCCGGGGTGCGTTCCAGGCATCATTTTCCTATTTCCTTGTTCTTTTTGGTCTTCAGCGTTTATCCCATGCTGTGGCGAGGTTCGCACTTCTTTTGTTACGCCATATAACCCAGTTAAATACCTGATCTGGATGGCACTAACCATCTTCAGATCCACGTGCATAAGGCGTCCTTGAAAGCGTTTTCCGAGCACTTCCCCCGCTGGAGGCCACTCTTACAGACGGGTCCGCCTTTGCAGGAAGTACGTGACCATACCATCGGAGACGAGATTCTCGTATTTTATACACTATGAGAAGCTACGCCAAATTTCTTGCGTATGCCGTCGCGAGTCCGATCCATACAAGTGACACGAGCCATTCATCGCAGCACCAGCTCCATCACTCTAGCGGGGTCCAACTTCCTCGATCGCAGGCTAGCACTCATCTGCCCGGTACTCGACGACCGACTCGCTTGAGTCGATCGTCGTACTCAGTCTTCTTGATGTTCAACCCGAGTCCGAACTCTGCAAGGCGATAAGACAGGTTTACACCTATTGCTCGAGTTCCTCTTATATTTACTGGCGAGCACTGAAACATCTGCGTAGAGGAGTGAACAAAGACTTGGTTTCTGGACATTCCGTGAGATGGCATCAATGGCGACCGTGAAAAGAATTGTGGAGAGCGCAGAGCCTCGATTAACCTACCTGACGAGAGATTCCTGCGAAGTGCCTGTTAGTGTTTGTACGGGGCTCCGGGCTGAAGTTCAGTATGCTCACCCATCCAATAGGCTCTTCGGGAACACTGCAAACCATATCATATAACTTCACGTGGAACATGATCGAATGCCTTTTCCACATCGGGAAAAGTTAGATACAGTGACCTTTACTTCTCACGATGTCTCAAGGAGGCGCACAGCATGTGTGGCGTCGATAGTGCTACAGCCTGCCATAAAACCGTACTGATCGATCGAAAGCTGGACGGTTTCACAACTATGACCATTAACAATTCGCTCAGAGATCTTCACAGTGTGTGAGGGCAGGCGAATGGGACGGTAGCTCGAGCAGTCCGCAGCGCTGCCCTTCTTCTTCCAAATCGAAATCATTGTGCCCTCTTGACAGTCCGTGGGCGTCTTCTTTTCAGCAACTACTTATTTAAAGTATTCCGTCAACCATTCTGCGGAATACCGGCACCGCGACTTCCACAGGTCGGCTGCCACGAAGTTAGGTCCTCTTGCTTAGCTTAACCTCAGCTTTCTGAGAGCAGTCTCCGTCCCTCCTACGGTTATCCTCCGAATTCTACCGTATACCGAGAACGAGAAGAAAAAAATTCCCTCTTCCTGCTTCAACTTACGCTTTAGAGGCTTGAACTACACGAGAGCAGGGCGAGCATGCGGTTAGCGTCACTTAATGCGTATCTATGGGAAAGGGAATCCATAGTTCCGCGATCCGCCGACGAACGAACATCAGGGTCACATTTGCCAAGATTTCGAAGATCAGGTGGGTAGAGCACATTATGCGCTTTGAACGGAGGTTACCATCTAGATTCCGCGGACTATCAAGCGAATACCGAGGACCGCGTACGCTTTGGTCATACTTCCGTTGAAGCTTTGAACGAATGACATAAAATTCGTCGTGTCCCTCGTCCCTTGACCAGAAAACCGAATGGGCAGCTGTAGCACGCTGCAGAAACTAAGGAAGCGGCGTTTGCTCGAGCAGCTCGATCAACGTTAGCACTTGTGGTACAGCACTGGTAATACAGCAAGTTAATATTGTTAGTTCATTATTTTGATATTTCGTATTCTTCGCCGAGTTCTCTACAGCGATGATTCCGCTCTACGTCACATGGTCATCTACTTCCACGATGTTCGGTGCTCACCGGCCCTGCGTTTACGATTTCTCCCACCTCCTCAAAAGTGTTCTTGCTCACCGGTGCTGCGTTGACGACAACGCCCCTTCCCCGAAGGATGAAGTGCGATTCCCTCGATGTGTTTTGCACAACGATGTTGTTCGCTCCATGAGGCACAATCGCGTTTTGTTTTATTGGGTTCAAACTGAGATCTTCCGGCCGGGCAGCTTCTTCACGTGGTGGTTTGTTCCCTCTATTTCGTTTATCACAAAAAAAAACACGTCGAAACGTGGGCTTACTGGGTAGACCGTTGTACAAAAAGTCGAGGTTGTAATTTAGCGTATGTTGAAAAAAGGTCGGGAAATTAGTAAAAAAACAGCCTAACCCAAAATGAAGAACTGGTAAAGGTTCAGCTCACGTATACACAGCCGCTCACGGAGGCGCGAGGTCGAGAAATGACGAGAGGTTGTAAATCCTGGGGACAATGTGACAGGAACTGACCAATTGTGAATTTTGAAATTGACCCATGCCAAAGGTTAATGTGAGAGATTGTGATAATGTAGGGGAAGCCAGAACTCTTGAGTACCTAATATTCGTCTTTCCAGGTTCAATCCCGCGTCATACTACAAAACCGGTCACTTCACTCAATTGATTTGGAAAGCTTCCAAGAGAATGGGTGTTGGTGTCTCCATAGTTTATCATGACGGATTTCGACGAAATCCCTGTCAAGCTAATGTACCGCTCTACATGATTTATGTGGTTGTCAAGTATGATCCACCTGGTAATTTTCTATCATATGATGCGTATATAAATAATGTGAGGTCGCCTATACATTGACTATCTTTTCCACTGCTTCATATCTTTCACTCTATTACTAACACTAGCGAAAATTGTTTGAAAACCATTATTGAACTGCCACTTGGGTGTAATTTTCTTTTGTGCCAGACCACACAGTAGGAAACGTTTTGTGGAATGATGTTACTTAACATCCAATTACTGTGGAGCCTTCATCACTTGTAGTCCTGTCAACAATCTGGGTATGTATGCGATGAACATTGCCTTAAGTATACCTTAACTGCATATGCTAGACGATGTACTAACTGAATGGTTGATCTCTGATTTTGTATCCTTCCGTCGTAAGTGATCCAGCTGTACTGATAGTATGAAAATGGTCATCAGTCATGTCTGCATCTGTCGTTGTGAGATTTTACGTCCACGTTACGCGTCGTTCGTTCGTGAAGATTAGTGATTCACATCAACGCAATCGTTCATTGACTTCAAAGACTAGGCATGCCTCGTCGAATTCCACACGTTCTTCAGTTCCCCAACTTTCGTATGGGTTTCAGTCTGAGTTTAGGAGCACGATGGACGAGATCAATGGCAATCTTTTCGTTCCATTTCGGAGATGTAAATCTCAAAACTAGTAGGGTGACTGCAAATCATTAAAAGACTATAGTCGTTTTCGCTGCAGACTTGGGGCGTGTCAGTGGGGCGGGTGAGGTTGAATTTGTCGCGTCTCCACCCAGTTTTCCACCGATTGCTGTCGCTTGCCCGCTCCAACAACTAGTGGAGAGTGGGCTCACACCGAAGCAAACGCAGCCCCCTGACACGCCAAGTGTCTGCTGCGAAAAGGACTGAATGTGCTACGTATAATGTTTCTTTATCATTTTCTTGTTCACTCGATCACGGGTGAGTGACTCTTCCATAATTTGCTCCAAATGTCGGCGTTTGGCCTGTTCTGATGGCATAATCACGTTTTCATTCATAAACAAAGGCATTGTCTAAATGAGTCAGCAAGACGGTAAAAGAAATTTTCTATAGCCTTGAATGGTCACATGTAGGCTAAGCACGGCCACTTTCGTAGTTAGTACGATTCAATGAAAATGGGCATACGCCGGAACCACTCAGCGAACTGAAAACATACAGTGGTAAATCCGCTCCTCCACGTGGTGCCACTGGGAACTGTTTGGTTCTGCGAGCTGAGCTAATCGCGGACATTCGAAGGCAGGTGACAGACCTTCGTGACGGGCCGGCTTACGAACACCCATGTCGCATCACTCATGTCTGAGAAGCCACGTTATTCCGAAGTAATGCTTCGGAGCCCGTGCGAGCCGACGCGCACTCCCAAGGCGTGAAAAATATCCGAGGGTCTCCGATGCAAAAGCGGCATCGGGGGGTGGGGTGGGGGAGGGGGGGGGAGGCAGCTAAGCTAGTCTGAAAGTCCCGCAGCGCAGAGTGGGTCCATATTGCAACGTTGAACGTTGGGATTTTTTGACCTCACATAAATTGGCAGAGGGCACTGGAGGTCAGACGAATTGATCACTATGCAGTGCAGGAAACAAGATGGTGCAGTTGCAAGTCGTTGCAAGTCAAGAGTCATTGATCAAGGCCTCAAAGCCATTCTTTGTGGCAAGCTATAGATAACCAACGTTTGGCCGTAATCTTCTCTCAAAGTTCCCGTGACTCGATATCGCGTGGAACGTTTTGATGACCGTTTGATGGAGATTGTTTCCGCTGTCGTTTCCTGATCTTGAACAGACAGACAGCGTCAGCGGACATATCATTGTTGCTGGCGGCCTAGGTCAAAGGACGGCTACAGTTGTCACGGTGGTTCCGTTTATGGGACCGTAACAGCCGCGACGTAACGTTGATAGCGAGCACATCGTGGAATATGCAAAATATCATAATCTCGCTACCTTGAACACAAAACTCCGTGAACGTGACTCTCACCTAGTCACATTCCAGAGCGGGAGCCAGAACACAAATTCATTTCCTTTTTGTCAGGCATCGCGATCAAATGCTTGTCAAAGACGCGAAGGCCGTGCCGTATGAGAAAGTCGCCGCCCAACGTCGCCTGATGATCTCGCTGAAGATAACACCCTCTATACTGAAAGAAGCCAAGCGTTTCGGTCCCGAGGCATTAAAAAGTGGCATTCAGAAGAATAGGAGGCAGTCGCGATCTCTCGTATTTCTTTACTAACCGTCACAACTGTAGCGGAAACCTGGAAGATACTGCCAGAGCAATAACCCAGGTCGTTCGCTCCCACCATAACCCGGTTGGCATAACAAAACCTGGAAGGCGTAGAATCAACAAGCAGGCATAGTTGTAGACAGACGACGTCAGGCCAAAGGTTCACGATAAGAAGAAACGCTATAACTCCTTTATAGTCAGCTGACAAATAGCGGAAATGCCAGCAAGCAAAGGGTGCGGCAAAGAAGGCGGTGGCTTTTGTGACAGCCACCTACTGCGAAGACAGCAAGAAGCTGGAAGCACGTGATGGTAAACTGCACATTTACCAAATTGCCAAAGCTCGCCACCGCCAGACCGTGGATCTAGAGAAGTTCTTGGGCATCATCGACGAAACCGAAAGAAGGCGCTGAGGGAGCTATAGAATATACACCAGGCCATACCTCCTGCCTCAATATAGGACCCTGTTTGGAAAATGACGTGAAGGGTACAGGAACTGCTCTCAAGAAGACGGAACCAGGCAACAGGCCCTTATGACGAGGTCGAAAATGGAAGTCACGTGCTGGTACTCTGCTGAACGGTTGACGTAGTCCTTCAACCAGGTCGTTGCAGAGAAGAAGATCCTCGAAGTGTGGCGGGAGTGTATGAAAATTTGAAGAAGAAAGCAACCGTGCACTCTGCTCGAGCCATCGTCTTACTCGCTGCTCTCACACAGTGTGGGAATTTTTGAGCGAATCGTTAATGGCCGTTTCGCGATATCTCTTAGTTCTCTACCAAGCAGTGTGGCTTCGTGACCGGCTGTGGCATCATCGATGCCGTACATGCCGCTCACCTCTTGCTGGAGAAATATGGTGAGAAGAGGGAGCATGTCCACGTAGCCTTCTTGATTCGAAGAACTCAGTCGATCGTGTCCCATGTCAAGGCATGTACTGTAGCCTCACGATAGCACGACGTTCTCGAGAGCTGACTGAGTTTGTGCGCGGATGCTCGTCTACGAGTATAAGTACGATTTTGAGGAACAAGTGCAAGCTCGACTGAGCGGTTGGCGAACTTCGAACTCAGATCAAGAAAACCGAGTATGACGACTAACTTAAACGAGAACGGTTCTCTTGGGGTCAGTGGCAGTATGCTAATACGTAGGGCAATGTTCACATATCTCGAATCAACAATCACATCCGACGGCAGTCTTGACTCGGAAGTGAGCGCGTGCGAGTGCAGCCTGGTCTGAGTTACGTTCTATGACTGGCATTCTTTGCGACAAGACAATACTGAAGCGCCTAAACTCGAAAATCTATAGGTCCGCCGCAATATACGATCATGAATGCTGGCCTACGGCCAAAGAAGTTGAAGGCCACCTCGGAATGATGGACATGAAAATGTTGCGCTGGACGGCCAACGTTAGGCTTATGCGTTCGCAATGACGATATACGGAAGAGATTCGGTGTAGCTCATGTGGGTAAAAAAGTGCGCGAAGCTCGCCTCCGATTCATGTGTAGTTTGTAACATTGCAATCTGTCGGGGGGGGGGGGACCGCAGCGCGGCCCGAGCTCGCTTCCGACCGCCTTGCCCTACCAGTGATGATCAAGCAATGATCGATGTAGGAAAGAATCAGCCACTGGTGGGAAGGCCGCAGGTGGGAACCGCTGATTGCGCCCCGGCAGGTCGTGATGATACAAACTGTACTGCTCATATTCTGACACCGTCGTAAGACAGGCTGCTGCTCAGAAAGCGGCCCTAATGCTGCCTTAAGCAGCGCTAGCTAGTCACGTTGAATGCGGACTTGAAGATGGTTGGCACCCATCCCAACCAAGCATTCAGTCGGAAGAAATTGTGTCAGAAAAGAAAAGAAGAGCGGACCGTGTAACAGAGTGGGACAAACGTGGAATAAGAAGAAGTTCCGAAACGATGCGATTTGGACCAGCGAAAAAAGTTATCCAGTGACAACTGGAAAACTGCGTATTCTTCTGTTCTGTTCAGGAACGTTCGCGAGCCAACAAGTTTTGCCTGGTCTTCTTCTTCTTCTTCATTTTCACATTTTTATCGCTGACCTCGCGCCGCTCTTCCACTACCCGTCGCCAATTTGTCCTGTCGCGGACATCCTTTTGCAGTGGCCTCCACATGTGCGAGGTCTTTCTCAGTCACGTCCTTCCATCTTTTCTACGAGGCTCGGTCGCTTGCCTTACGCTTTGAACAGTGCTTTCCTTATCGGGTGTTCCTCGAGTCTTCACGTCAGGTGCCCATACCACAGCAGTCGCTGCTATGTGACTTCAGCTGATTGATTGGAGTCGCCTGCGTGGCTGCTCTAACGTCTCGGCCTTCTGACTCACTGCTACAGAGCACCGCAGGCCTCACCACTGCCCCGGTACATCTTGCCCCTGACTGTTCTCGAGCACCGCCGGTTGCAGAGGATGCTTGTGCACCCCTCCATTTCATTCACACTGCATTGATTCGAGCTATTACTACACGGTCCATGCTACCGTCATAGGTCAGATCGCTTCCCAGATAGAGGAAGTTCTCCACCCTTTCAATATCTCTATAACTGTCCTTGATGTACTGGAGGCACTCTCGAAGCTGAGGAATTGATCTTCTTGACATTCAACCGAAGGGCATTCTCTTCCAGTACCTCCTGCCATTCTCACTCCTAGAGTTCTTCACTGCTCTCTGCTATCATAGTCATCGTAAAGAATGACCTTGCATGGTCCCTCCACGAGTTTCTCTGCCACTACGTCCAGGGTTAGTAGGAGGAGGAAGAGTCTAAGGGTTGACCCTTGGCGTATCCCAAGCAGGATGTCTCTGTAAAGCCATGCGGAATGCGCACAACCACTCTTGCCCCACGTCCCTTACCAGGGCGATTAGGTGCTCGGGGATATTCGGTTTTGTGAGAGCACTCGTGAGTACGGGTCGCGACAAGCGATCGAAGGCCTTTTCCAGGAAGGCTAAAAGCAAGATCAACGCATCCCTCTGAGGTTCCTCATCGCCTATGTAGCGATCAAGATGGCATCCGTACTGGACTTTTCGGGCATTAGGCCGAACTGTCCCTGCAAGAACTGGACGAGGTCTCTAAACCTTGTGTTGGCTAATCTTTCGTAAAGCTTCACGGTATGTGCGGTCGCGGAAGCTGGAGCATTCCGCCGCGCTCCCCTTCTGTTTGGAGATGAGGACGATTGTACTGTGCCAAGCTCCAATCATCCAGCGTTCTTCCTTCGACTGCTATGACAATTAGTTAAGCGGGTGAGCCAACCCCATGTCCTCCAAGAACCTTCCAGACCACAATCTGTATCCCATGTGTACCAGTTGCCTTGCCAACCTTCACCTCTCTGTTTACCCACGAGCCTCATTCTCTGTTCAGACTGAGATGGGACCAGCCGTTGGCTCTGTTTGTGGGCTGTCTTTACGAGAAATTTCTTCGTTGAGGGGTTCTTCAAAGTATTCTTCCCAACCTCCCTTGACTTCGACTGGCTCCCTCAAAATGAATCATCACATCCTTCACAGTCTTCACATCCATGACGTTTTGAGTACCCAATAGCCGGCTTTAGCCACCGAAAGACGAACGTGTATGCTTCTAGGCTGTCCAATATGTCGTACAGGTGTCCATTTCTGTGTTCCTCGCTTTCGCTACGGCTGCCTTGGCGGGTCCGGTTGCAGCTCCCGTTGAGAGCGGGGTCTTCTGGATCCTTGCCTTCCGCCGCTATCGCTTGTATGCTCCCTTCTTCCGCTTGACCACCTGTTAGATTTTCTGAACCACGCTGCCCTTCTTTTTCCAACTCGTGTCTTTCCCAGTATTTCAGCACATCGGAGGATGACATCTACTGCGTTGCTCCAAGTCTACTCAAGGGTCCCCATTTTGGAACCCAGTCTCCTGTGCCCTACTTCTGAGCGCATCTCTTCACTTCCAACACCGTCTCCTCCTCTCATTTCTTACCCTTGTCTTTTTAGGGAGATCTAGAGCGATGTCTGCTAGGAGGAGTCTATGTGAGGGCCCAGTTCTTCACTATGCAACACCTTGTTGTCTTCAACAGTTTTGAGGACCCTTCCAATGAGAACATGGTCGATTTCCGTTTGTCACCCTAAACGTGCAGGCTACCTTCTAGGTCTCTCTTCTTGCGAAGAACCTGCTGCAGATTAGGTCTGGGCTGTTACCAGATCCCTCGATGTTCCGCGTTCCTATCCCCCTGCTCCGTACACCCTTGGAGTCTATCACACCCATGATTCGAACATTGATCCTGTTCACGGAGCGGAGCAGACGCAGTCCTTCGCCAATTCTGTTACCGCTATGGCCACTCCATTTTGCTCTGCTTCTCCTTCGTTGTAGAAGAGTTTGAACCCTTCTCAAAATGGGCAAAATTTCGCTCTTTCCAGAGCGTTTCCTAGACGGATAGGGCTTGAAAAAACATCCGGTCAGACTCCTCGGGATTTCTTGTTTGGCCAAGATCGTTTACCGTAAGTGTTATTACATTGATCTCCAGCCGTTCCGTCAACCAGGATTGTCGCTGGTATCGGCAACATTTATGGTCTTCGCCTCGGCATGGATCGAACTCGTGGTTCACTGCGCGCAGTCGTACACTTGACCGATCTGCCATCTCTGGGGTGTTCGCAAAGCTTCAAAATTCGCCCCGTGTCCTCCTCCATGAGAACGCGCCACAAGACATGAAAGAGCGAGAACCAGTTGTAGACCAGGACTTGTAAAAAGGATTGACTGTGTTATACACATGTCCCCACCATCTTTGGGACATATACAAGGGCGCAGGAAAATCACGAAACAGAAGAAACTGCTGCCCCAGGGGACCTCGTAAACTGTGTTTGGCTTCGAACATTTCCAGAGTGATGGTTGTGACAAAAGAGGACGTTATCCTTCTAAAGGTCTGTTAGCTTGAATAGAAGCTAGCCATGTATTTAAGCTACCTACTTGGACCGATCAAGTCTTCGCAGAGGACAAACGACGACGACTTATAACGCATATTTTATTAATAGTAATGTTAATTAGAAACAATGCTGCTGTAATAAGTGTGCTGAAATGACAACTAATGCATAAAAACACAATATTCGCAATAATTATGTATAAATAATCATAACAATGTGACTGAAAGGGAACTACCTTTTGTGAAAGGTACAAGAACTTGCGTTTGTTGAAGGGATTATTCCGGTAGAGAACTGATCTGACTGGAGAAAAAAAAGTAAAATGTAATACCATTGGTGTTATAGCAAACAGAAAGCGTAAGAACGTCCCATACACGTACAAATCATTAGGAAACGATGGAGAATTGAAATAGATTTTTGGGCGATTTTCATTTATACACAAAATTGCACCATTGTCCTCGCCGGCCTAGAGGGCTCGTTTGCTATTTTCATTGCATGAAACAGAGTAGTAGTATGGGTGCTAGGTACCACGGGTGTATAGCCAATCTCCATCCCTTTCCGGTGCCCCTGACTGGACGTATGCCTCCTGCTCGTACCCTAGTCATTTAGGTGCCATAGTACACTGAATTTGATGGTGCGAATTGGAAATATCTTTTCATAAACAAGGCGCGCTCGATTACGGCAGTCATACACCGGTTCAAATCACAAAAATAAACTGCTGGATGAAAGCATGTGCCGTACAGTAAAAGCGGTTTTTGGAGCACAGCATATGTTTTGAAGAGGTACTAGTAATCAAGAGGTCATTTAAAGTGCAACTAGAGAAAAGAAATAGGATAAGGGTTAATGAAAAAGGTGAAGCGAATAAAGAAATGCATAGTTTACAAACAAGAACTGGATTAGAGTTCCACTTTTCAAAGTTGTTACAAACATATGTGGGCTTAGTATTATAATGGAAGAACTCGTAGAGGATCCCGAGACAACAGTAACAATGAAATTATCTGAACTAGAATATCACATACGATTGGAGAATTCGGCTCATAACATCCCATCGGCACATAGAGTAACAATGGGAGGAAAAAGACGAATGAGCCGGTTTCCACCAACACATTTAGAAAAAGTTAATTCCTCGAAATTAGTAGAATGTTATGATGCAAAAGGGGCGAGGTGACTCCAGGCGTAACCAGTTCAAGCTGATGGAGCATCGGTGACACTGGCCGGAGGAGCACATGTACGATAGAAAATGAGGTTGTATTCTTCGAAACCTCCATGAAGATGGTCCTCACTCGAGAAGCACGACTCAGTCGTAAATCCTACGCGGAAACGGCTAAGCGGACTGCAAATAACTGCCTACCGACAGTTCGAAGGTGTCGTCGCTGATCTGTAACAGGATGAACTTCTATTAAAGATATAAGGCTCACAGCAGTTATGCTGTATTCGTGACAAAAATAACCTGCTTTGCCATTGGATCCCTCAGACGCTCCGCCTTGAAAATGTTACTATCAAGAGCACAATGCTTGTGCTGGAAATCGGCCAAATAACCGCAGTTGTTCACTAATTTCCCTTTTGGGACCCTGCAAAACACGGATTTTGTACCTTACTGATCAACTGACGCCTAAATAGCTGAGAAAGTAGAGAGAACTTACGCAAACGTGATTTCCAGTGGGTGCGTTGGCAGATATGGTGACACCGGAATGTACATATTGAAGCGTCCACGTTTCTTGCTACAGCTTTGTTCGATGCAGTAACGATGATCAATGGTCACATTCAAGCCGGGAATCAGGATCCGTACACCAGTACCAAGCGGTTTCCCAGTGGAAATGTCAGGTGCACTTCGCGCTATCATATTCTTTGTGTGTTCACCCAGCGTCACAATCGTGTCCCTCTGAATAAATGTTAACATCATCCCATCCTTCTGACATTAAAATTCAATGTACTTACATCGTTTACTTGATTGCCAGTATGAGATTTGGCAGGATCAGTGCAACAGTAGGTATGACAGTGATTCGAGCGACATGAGGCCATTAATAACGGTGCATCTGGTTGAAGCATCGGAAGATACGGATGATCTGAAAGTTTCGTTTTCAATTTTTCAAGTTTTTTTTGTATGTAAAAAGCAACTTGAGTCAAATCCTGGAGTGAGAAAAAGTCGTACCGATTTGGTATATCATATGCCCGACGCCCTCCGTGGATCCTCCAGGTTTTGTGGGTGGTGTTGCGTTCAGGGTATAGAAGTGGTGATAACCGTAGTTGCGATTGTGCCAGTCCAAAACGTACAGAGCCGACATTGCAATCAGACAAGCAGCCATAACTACGACTAAAGTTATGATTGTCCCTTGGGTTAGTTTTGAGTTACACAGCGGTTCCTGACGATGACACTGGGTACGGCAGCTGAGATTCTGAAAAAACTGGTGGTGAAATGAGATGGACTAATGAGAAGGTATGTTAAATTATGAGTACCTTTCGTTTCTCACGCCCTTCTTTCGAGACTGATGGAGAAGTGGATGCAAGTGATGTCCTTGAGTACGACAAGTAGCTCTTGTTATCACTAACAATACCAGAAGACTGTTCGCTGAGGTTCGAGGCAATCGAACCAATCAACTTCTTTCTTCTGGCGTATCGCGCGAGACGCTGGCTGATTTCCTCCACCTTAAAAAAACGGTCACCCTTCAATAGTCTGTAAACGGTCAATAACATAGACTATGAAGCTTCACTTTACCTTGTCGTCAATCTTCGTGTCAAGATCTCCAGTAAGCCTGCAGAGTTCCTGCATCGCCAGCACAGTCTCGTAAAATATGCGCGACTCGTCAACAGTCAAGTGAGTACCGATATCGCGGACGGCATCGGGAAGTACCTAAATTATTCGAGGCCGTTTTTTCACAAAACTACATTCAGATCAACCGCGGGGTGGTCCACTTACAGCTTGGAGTTCTTGTGCGATGAGACCAGTTCGTCTACGTTGTTCTTCACTGAGACCCCACAGTTCTGCAATTTCAGGTTTGTAACGGAAATCGACAATACGCAGTTGCTGAAGGTGTTCCAGCGCTTCTCGTGACGTCTTCTCAACGATGTCCTCTTTCAGGCGAATGTCGCACGGGCGAGTTATCTAAACAGACCAACCAATAATTAAACGGCAGCTATGGCAAAAGAGGGACGGGTAAGTCTCTCAATTGATATCGACACCAAGCGTGCGCGGTACATGCACCAAAGGTGCGGCCAGAAGGTCTCGAGAATACTACAATAACCGTCACGCGCGACGACCACTCATGGAGGCTGAACGACCTGCCTAGGAGACTTGCCCTGTACCCCGTATACGGTGTACTTACCTGTCCAGTGATGTAAATATCACCGTCAACCGTCAGCTTTGCAGCGGTACGATCGGTACCGATAGCAACTGGACCATGGCAGACTAGGGTTCCTCCGTTGCGGTACCACTGCACATCGCTCTCGGGTGGCTCGAACGAACCAGGATTAGTAGCCTGAAAACGAAAATGTTTCAAAATAATCCTGGAAGACAGACAATGTGGGAAAAAGGTTTCGTCTTTGCAACTTCATCGTACGATAACTGAATGGTGAAGGATGCAAAGATGGTAACGACCGCCGTCAAGCCATCAATTTCTGGGCCACAACCCCCTTTCTGCATGTTTAGGATGTATATGAAGAGAACGAACACAAAAGCGGCATTAGAGTACTCACCAACTTTAACTGTACAAGACAAAAGTAAATTCGCCAAACGTGCGGGTCACCAAATAAGCACATGGAAACCGTTCCTGAAGCATACGGGGACCTTGCACACCCAACAAACCAACGCATTCTTACTTGGAAAAGTTCACAAATTGGCACTCATCTGCGCTGATAGAAACTTGTGTCCACCTTATGCAACAATGATACGTAATTTTGACTGGTATAAGATGCACAAGACTTATGCTTTACTGTGTAATAAAACTATGAAGTCACCGCAAAACTAATAAAGGGCAATCATGTTTATAAGAACATACCCGAACGATGACCTTTTCCGACTGTTGGGCTTGAATGAGAGCCACACCCTCGTCAGTGCAGGCTAGCAGGCGTACTACGAGCAGGAAATATTTCTGGTCAGGATTCGGTCGATTGTTCTTCCTCTGGTTGTTCAGCGTCGTCTCAGAGAAATGTAGCCTTGGTACCGTCACCTTGGTAATTTCTCGAGCGTGGATGTTTAGTCTGAAAACAACTTGTTCATTAAGTGGCAGAAAGCATCACAGCAGAAATCACAGTGCCGCGAAATAAGCAGGGCGCACTTATCACGAGAACTGGAAAGCGTAATTTCGTAGCGTACAAGTTATGCACATAGGAATGACGTATGAGGGGGGTATGTGACAAAAGAACCGTGAAGTCGCTCTGGTGGGCGTTCGCGTGCGACGTCGCGCCCGCTAATGACGATGGTTCCAGGTAGTGATTTCGACAACATGCAATTCGGAACCGAAAATAGTCATGACTTCTATAATAACGGGGTCTACATGAAGTCGGGGCTTTGATCGACAAGGTAACACGAGTTAAGAAAGGGCCACGCCCATCACCTAGCGGCGAGCGGGAAATTATGATTCTCTTGTCCACCTTCCCGTATGAGGTCGTGCATATCGACAATTATTTGGATCGCGCTGCGTCAATTTATGGTGAAGCGGTGGCTCAGTATGTTTCGTGAGGAAACTGAATAGAACGTACATGACAGGATCGTGAGGTATTGGTTTACGATCGGTCTGCGACTGCTTGATCTGAATTTCTGACGACAGCATTTCTGCCTTGACACCGCAGAACGCCAGTTTGATGGCTTTGATCGGATGCATCACGCCGTTAACTTTTACGAATTTTGGTGGATGCTCATCGTTCGCCTCGATATTCACTGAGATCTGAAACAAAGTACCAGTGGTTTCAAACAGTAAACTGTGAATGTACACAGAACATACCTGGAAATGATTTTTCTTCTGATTGACAAAGCATCCATCCGAGTTTGAGTAATTGAAGCCCTAGTCGGCTACAACGCAAATTTTGAGCTTGGTCAGCTGCTGATGGTTGATATCATAGAGGGGATTCCATAGCTCTTCTTGGAACATCGAGAACTTGATCACCTTGAAATAGCATGATAATTGACATATGTATGTTTACCTAATGAAAATGAACTTCGAATAGGTGGTCTGATAGTATCACTCAATGCCCACCTGATGCGAGAAATTTTCATCTTGATAGCTGCAGTCAATAGGACTGGCAGCCACAGGTGCTTGACCAACACTCGGGAAAGCTGGTAAAAACTTCGGCGGATCCAGCAACTGGCTGTCGGTGCGAGCACGTTTTCTGAATAAACTTTACCCTTCGCATACACTTTGTATACTCAACAATTTTCTTGGAACTGACACCAACCTTGGAGCTTCACTAACGTGGCTATTAATACTGCCTTCGCTGGACACGTTCAGAATGTTGAACAGACCAGCACTGTAGCCATTGTTTACAATGTACTGTTGACTATCATGACGTCCGTTGGAGACAGGCGGCGATACCTGAACTTGGCAGCGCTAAATAATAAGAGTTAGAAGAAGATCAGAGTATTTTATGCGTCCAAGAAGGCAGCGTTCAGACTTTACGATGACAGCGCTTCGGTCGCGCGTTCGACGCGATCGATCAGTCGAAAGCATGCGCCCGTCGAACGGCGCGACGAGGCGTTGCCGTCGCGAAGTCTGAACGCTGCCGAAGCGGAATCGCGCGCATCTAGTTGGCTGCTTTGAAACGCAGTGGCATGAGCGCTATGTCGAATAAGTTCGGTTCTCACGCGGATGCAGCGCACGTGACACCACTTGTGACGTAACTTTCGCTGCGATCTTTGCGCTTTGGATATGCTGAACCGAAAGTGAATATGTTGGACAACTACATACTCACCCTGTGGCAGGAGTGCCGGGAGTCGCGTTGGTGAGCGGATATGGACTCATGAAACATTGCGTTCTGTGTGATGTCATAGGATGACTGACCGGACCTTGTGAGGGTTGATGAAGTTCGTGAGCCATCATGCCCGGTACCCAAGGATAAGACCGTTGTTGTTGTTATTCAATTACTGGTGATACATGAAGCATAAACGAAATGTATTACCGACCACATTGAGGAGCAATGACAGATCAATCCTCAGTACTTCAAATTTCTTGAAGCTTCGGTGAAGGGCACAGCTCGATGCAACTTCAAGAATCCAACGCATGTCTCATAGTGCAAGAAAAATTCCCTCAAACAGTGACAAGAGGAGGCAATTAAACTGTTCTGGAGCTGAAGTCATTCATGAGCAACGTATTTGGTGGAACGTCACCAGCCAGTACAGCCAATTAAGGAGGGTCAACCACAGCGACCTTATTTGCGAACTGAAGGACGATTGAAAATTTCAAATATCGGGTATTTACGCGCTGCGGCGATTATTCAACATCACCCAGCGAACGCAACGAACTTCGACAAAAAAGAGCAAGAAACAAAAGCAGAAGTAGAACATAGGAAGGGGAACCAGAAAACGAGAACGCAAAGGAAAACGGTTGGGGACATTAAACAGAATATAATTGAGCAGAATGCTGATTGATGGTACACGAATGAAAAAAATCTGGAACAGTACGCAAGTAGAAAGATTGAAAGCAAATGAACAGAACTGGAGATGTTTAAGTGGATTGTGAAGGCAAATCGTCATAACTAAAAAAAAACAAACGAGAAAGTTGAAGAGAAGGAAGGTCAACCGTAAAGCGATAAGTAAATGAACTTACAGCGTTGAAGAATGAAGCCAAGAAAATGGGTGAAGGAGCTGAACGCAAAGAAAGTGATGTATGATCAGAAAAAGATTAGAATCAAAAGAAACAAAAAAAACAAGCATATCAAAAGATAAGCAGAGAAAAAGGAGGTGAAAGAAAACGAGTTATGACTGAGGATAAAAGAGGGGAGGAAGAGAGACTAATGAACAGAAAAGCAATTACGAGAACGATCTGGATAACCAGTGTTGCGAAGAGGAACATAAAGAAGAACTGAGGTCCTGAATGGAAAGGCCAAACACCAGTGTAATGAATGGAGTTAAATTGAGGAGGCGAAGACGAGGAAGGACAAGCGAGAATTCGATTTACTCACCGACATAATTTGGCATAGTTCTCTGGTGAATACGGCGCGTGCAGAATTGCTTTCAGGCGAGCCGATGAACCGGCACCGGATATGTCGGTTGTTGGCGGTGAAGCGGTTAGACGAGTGGCATTCTGGAACTACGATAGGTAATTGTTTTGATCATACTGTATAGCCAAAAAAGGCTATACCAATCTGAACTTCTTCAGATCTTATGAGCTACCTGGCAATCACATGAATAAACTCAGTACATTTTTTGTAGATGCAGTACCAAAAAAATAATAGCTTGGAAGCTACTGAGTAAATGAAACACGCAGACATATCCTCTCGAAACGCGCATTACTCTTTCCGGGAGAACACTGAACAGGAAGGTCGTTCAGGACGTACAGCGTTTCTTGAAAACGATTACTGCATGTTCTGGGGTACACGCACGGACTATCAAACTGAGGTGTTTTTCTTGACCGCCGAACACCAAAAAAAAGTAGTGAAAAAAGTCTTCAGATACTACTCAATTTCGGTTCCACGCGCTGTGCTAGCTTGCAACTTCCACCAGTCTGGGGGGGGTCCTTTTAAAGGGACTATTGAAATCGACGGTAAAAAATAGTAGTAAATGGGTCTTATGCGAGTCCGTGCTATGAGTGAAGTGATGTTTTTCAACAGATAAACCCATTATCAGTTATAGATTAGCTAGGATGTTATCTGTTTTAGAGCCGATAGGTAGCAAGAAACGTCGCAGTACCTGAAAACATAGCTGGGGAGGTTGTGCTGTTGATTGCGTCCAATACCGTTGAGTGTGCTTCTTCTCGTTATGAGGATGATGATGTGGCGACCAGGATCAGAGGCTATCCAGTGGCGTGCTGAAAGACGAGATTCATTGGATCGGTGCCACTTGTCCTTATTGCCGTTTTGCAGCTATACGTGAATCTCGAAAATGATTACCAATAGGTCAAGGCCAGTGCAGAAATGCATCGCTGAAGAGAGTAGTAGCTACCGTGCTCGCAAGGATGTTTGACGCGCGCTTCGCAACAAAATCGCTTAAACGCGCCGCTAACGCGACAGTTTTAAGGTTTGGTATGGGCCAATTGGTGTACAGACCATGAGCGAAAATAGTCTTGTGTAGTGGCTCCTAGCAGGGATTTTTCCAAATATGGACCTTCCGAAAGATTTTGACTCCATTAGGAAGAGAAAGTGAAGTTCGTCTTTTCCCACTGGCCTCCGTTTTTGCCCTTGCTCCTGCGTTACAGATCGAACTAAAATCGATGCGATTTACGGTGGAGAGCTTCAACTAGGGCAGGCCATCGCGTTGTGACAAATTAATGCTAAATACGACTCCCCCTTCCCCAAAAGCGGATCTCGCTACGACAAGAAAAGACAAAAAAACGACAAAGAAGTAAGTGATTCGAATAAGATTACTTGGATTTAAACGTTCGCGAGCATTCAAAACGCCTTTTCACGGTCCCATTAGAGCTAGCTATTTCGCGACGTGGGTCAGAAACCCAGAAGTACTATTTTTCGAACATTCATAATGTTCTTGGAGAAAAGAGCTCCTGAAACGGGAAAAGCAGGATTATAGTTAAAGCTCTATATGTAAAGCTCTAGGTCTGTGGTTCAATAACTGTGTGCCATGCAAACTCCTACTTTTTTAGGACCTTCCCGATTTGACGTTCATTGTTGCAATTTTGAGGAGGCACCTATGACCTTTCTTGTTTTGAGCAGCCATAACTAATTCAGGTGGTTCAGAATACTCCTCCTTCCGAAGAAGCACCCCTTTTTTTTCTCACACCCATTCCCAAAAAATCGATTTGTTGTGGCAAGTTTCGGTCGACGCCAGAAAAAAATCCACATCGTCGGAGCAGTTCCCCAATTTGTCTAATCAATCTTGGGAGGCTGAGAAAGCATACTGAATTATCAATAGTAAATCTTACACTGGTCCAGTGATTGTACATCATCTCATACTGCTGCTCTTCGCACTTCTGAATGAGCCCTGCGCTTAGGATCCGCCCACCTTCGCGGTCAAATACGACCCCTCCCCATTTCTGACTTTGTAACGAGAGCGTGGTCGTGGCTCCGCCTCTTCCCCTAATTCTCATCCATCTTAGGCCACCGTGTTGAGTTATTTTTAAAATTGGCAAACAGGCCGTTGGCATGATAATCAAAAGTAAAGAAGCGACCTTCGGGAAAAAATCGATATACATCAACATCGGTGCTACCAACCGAACTGCCTAAGAATACCACTGACGGCAAGTAAGAGCAATGTGCGGCCTTTAAAAATGGTTGGAATTGTCAGAAATTTGTCAAAAACATGCTGAGTTCATTTAAGTAAACCACTCACGTTGTCGTTATGGACGAATTCGAGCAAATTGAAGGTGGATAGGTTGCTGAACTCTCCTAGCGGTCACTTAGCCCCTCCTCTGAAAAAAAAGTGTATTGATCGAGTGACTAATAAAGGATATCGTTTCGTCAAATTTTTTCCTCTGAAAATAGATCGAGCTTGCAGCTAATCTATTACCATAATGGTCTGGATATGAGTTTGTTTCGATGTCAAACAATTGAGAACCGAGTTGTATTACAAAGAACAATCGTGTACTCATGCAGGATGAAAAAAAAAACTATCTCATTCTCAGGCAGGCCGATACATGCGTATGATATCGTTTCTACAGAGAAAGAAGAAAATTTCAGAGAAAAAAATGATGAAAGAAATGAATAGGTGGCATACGCAAGTTGTGCTTACCTCTAAAATTGAAAGATCGGCTCTTAGCCATGCAGTTTCATGAAGGGGGAAGCTGTGGTCAGCGAGGAGCGCGTTCAGCAGTAGTAAGGGGTGCGCCCGCCGCCTGTCCGTACCAGGCCGCGACCCCCGCCGATGCCGCCGTCGCACACGACAATCTAATTTTTCTCTGCGTCATACTCGCCAGCACTCGACCTCACATTCCCTCTCATCAGCTCTTACTCTCTGCTACCGATCGTTCTTTTAGTCGTCGGGCTATTTCGCCACACAAATCCACCATACAACAACACATATCGACACACACATTGTCGGTTCACGACAGGGTGGTACGAACCGCAAAATTTCCCACGTGAGGTAACTGACTGGTCAGCCAAAATCACGACAAAACCATTCACACCAGTGAACCACTCACACCAAATCAGCAAGTCCTCTTAAAACTCACTGTACAAATTGGGTCACATACAGGGGAGACACATAAGAAACGACTAATCTTCTTCATCGCCCTTTCATTTTTTCTCTGCGAAAGTACCCTCGTTTAGTCTGCGAACTCGGATCAATGTGCGACTGGCCCTGACCTTGTGGTGATTGTTCGTTAAAATGAAAAGAGCCGAGGTCAGCGAGCTATCATTGAGCCGACAGGTAGTACCACCCTAAGCTCCGCGCGTTCATCCTGTTTTCTCACGGCCAAGTTAATCGTACCTATCGCCGAATTGAAACTGTATTGCTTATCGTGTTATACTACTAATGAGAAGGAAGCGTATCCAGTAAGGAGTTTAGAGAACATTCAGCAAGAACAGGAAACTAAAAAAAAACCTGGCAACCAGTATTGTCACATTATGTTATGTCAACGACTCAGTGGAATGGGTACATTTTTCCGGGATAAGTAGTGCCCAATTCCGTCCAAAATCAATGTGGAATGCCCATTTCCTACGAAAGGAGTACTTCAGAAAAAAGTGGCTAACGGCTTTATTTTGATTTCAACTATCCCTTAGTTATCAGTTCTGAAAGAGTTCATTAATGATGCGAGAGATGATAGGAAGGTAAACAAATAGAGTGCACGTGAATGTACGTGTGAGATTCTGCTGCCCGCAACCAGACACGGCTTGGCACGACGAGTTCCTTAAACTTCAAC